CAGTGACGGGCGCCCTGTGTGTGTGTGACGCGGCGCTCTGTCTGCGTTGAATCATTTTGCAGTCTGGCGCTGTCGGCCATGTAACGTACGCTCCATTACCTGCGCGCGAGGCTGCAGTGTGCTCCACGGCGCCGGAGATTAATGCGTTTCGTCCCGCGGCGGACAGAGGAGGAGGAGGGGGGAAGGGGCCAGACTCCCGGCGGAGAAGGTAATAAAATACTATCGTCTGACGCTCGCCTGTCGCCAACACAAAAGATTTTAGCCTCTTCCGATCAATAGATTGCCTTCGTTCATGATTGATAGCGCCCGCGGAATAGGGAATGCGTCCGTTTGAATGTACATTGCGCTCATTTCACTGATGTGGAAATGTCCATTTTTGTGTTGTTAATGGCGCCGCCGCGAACGTTTACACCGCTTTTTTTATAAGGGCGACTGCCCTTTGCGCATTTGTTTTTGCAAATGTTCCGCCTTCCGTGTCCCTCCATATTTGATTCAAACGCGGTCCGATGTTTCAATGACGTATATCACAGACTTAAGGCACCGCTCGCCGATCGTTTCATGCTATGAGCTTTGTGGATTTGCGTCCAATCAGATGCAAACAAACGGAATGTCGACCAGAAGGGTAGCTGGGAAGAGACGCTTTGATCAGTCGCTGAGATTCTTACGCATCCCGAGGGCCCATTAAGGATTATGCGCACGTGTCCGCGCGCATGACCGCAACGCATGGCAGTGCGCGTATTTTACGGCGGTGGCGCTTATTGTAAATAACACCCCAGCGCATTGCACAGTGGCACGCAACGCAGCCGACGGTAATGTACTTAAGTGCTAACAGGTCCTGTTAACGAGGTTTTACTGACGCGGTAACATCTTCGCCAAACGCAATGCGATCGCTTGGGTTTCTCACTGCTTCGACTTCCCCTGGTGCTCACATCCATTAATTCGATCACCGCGTCGGACATTCCCCTGCGTTCTGGTCACATCTACAATTTTCCTTCGGATCAGAAACGTCCCATTTTTAGGAAACCGTAGATTTCAGCGGCGGCGCGGCGAGTTTCCGCCGCCATCCGCGCATCTCGCATTCCTCGGCCGGCCGCGAGATAACAGAGCTGCCATTATCTCTCTTCTTCCCTCCTCCGTAGCATGTGTCACAACAAGGAACAGGTGCAGCGGCCGCCTGTCGCCCCCATATTGGCTGCGGGCACCCTCTGAGGAGGATGGGGAGGTTTAACCCCTCGCCTGCCGAGACGAGTCTTCATACACGAGCAGTCTTGATCTGAGCACTGATGTGACGCTTTCCTGCTCGCGTTGGGGATGCGCCTGGCGATGAGGAGCACCGGGTGCTGCAGGTCGTAATTATCCATGATTACTGGCTGAGGGTCTCGGTGTGTTTAGAGCCCTACTTTGGCATCATAGGAGGATCAAGGTTTCCTTTATAGTGATATTGGAGAATGTGATGGCAGATGGCGTGGCCCCGTATAGTTGCCGATCCCATTCTCGTAATATCCACTTACAAGATCCCACTACATGGACCAAAGGTTTGTGGACATCTGACCATCAGTCCTACTTATATGGTGAGACATATGTGGACCCCCTTCAAGAGATAGAGTTCAGGTCTTTCCAGTGAATGGTCCTGGCAATCATACACCACACTTAGATGTTTTAGACAGTTGTCCTCTTCCAAGCTTGTAGTAACAGTTTGTTGGCGGTCCTTTTCTATCCCAACATGACATGGTTTGGTGTGGAAGATCTTAAGTGGCCTACACAGAACCCTGACCTCAAACCTAATGAACACCTTTGAGATATATTGGAACACCAATTGTGAGCCAGATCTTCTCATCCAACCACAACAAGCTCATATAGGAGTGATGGTCAGATGTCCACAACAAGCTCATATTGGAGTGATGGTCAGATGTCCACAACAAGCTCATATAGGTGTGATGGTCAGATGTCCACAACCAGCTCATATAGGAGTGATGGTCAGGTGTCCACAACAAGCTCTTTTATGAGTGATGGTCAGATCTCCACAACAAGCTCTTTTATGAGTGATGGTCAGATGTCTACAACCAGCTCTTATAGGAGTGATGGTCACATGTCCACAACCAGCTCATATAGGGAGTGACGGTCACATGTCCACGACAAGCTCTTATAGATGAACACTTGGCCATATAGGGTAGACCCCAGCATGGTACGATCCTTTCCTGGTAACAACTGACCCACCTGTTGCCCACTGTCTATTCTGGTTAAGACTAAAACATACTGTAGTTTTAATTTCACGTTGTTCATGGTTTCCGAGAAGTTCTGTTGGGTGAAGCGTCCTCTCTGACCCGTGATGTGTTTCATTTTTTATTAGGATGGACAGAGTGACAGAAGAAGCTCTCCGCCTCAACCTCCTGAAGAGGGGTCTGGAGCAGCCCGATGACCGTGAGGATGTTCTGGCCAAGCAGCTCAAGATGGAAGGCCACGAGGCCATGGAGAGGCTGAAAATGTTAGCTCTTCTCAAGAGGAAGGACCTTCCCGGACTGGAACTGCCGCACGACCATCCTGGCAAACAGGATGGGCTCAAACTGTACGACGAGAAGATGAACGGGAACCTGCGGCCCCATGTGGACTCCCGGCCAGGAGGAAGGCACGGCAAGGAGAACATCGAGGAGCCGGTGGATATGAGCTCCAGGCGCGGGTGAGATGTCTATTCACACCTTAGGGCCAGGAGTCCCTATGTTTTACGTCATGTAGACAATGGCTATGCCATGACATGCAGAAGTAGTTACAGATGTTGGGGGTAAGCACAATATGTGCATCGTCTTCTCTGCAGCTTTGATAGTATCGTATTTCTTACACTAATGTGGCAGGTGTTTATGCCTGACATGTCATAAGTCAACCGTATCATTTTCCACCTTATCTCATTAAAAAGCCATCCTTGAGCCCCACTCAGTGACTTTGCGTAGGCTGTGATGATGTCATCAGTCTGCTGCAGGCAGGAGGAAGCATTTCCTCAGTCTCCCCTCCCCCAGTGACCAGACTGTACATTGCCACAAGGTGAGAGGCTGCAACAGGGGCTGATCTTTGTCAGACATTTTAGAACACAGGACTGCACCGGCATCTCTGAGCCGACATCTCAGTCCAGGAAGTAGATGGTGACCCCTGGACGATGCCTGAACAAAGATGGCGCCGTCCCTCTGGAGAGTAAAGCAGATGTAGGCATTGTCAGGGGGAGTCCTGTGATAGCTGTGAGAGGTAATTAATGCCTGGAAGTGTTCCAAGGACAAATGACTGAGCATGCTCCACTTAGCATAGAAATGTATATCTGATGACAGGTCCACTTTGTGCCGCCACTGTTGTAATAACTTTCTTTTTTCCGGTGACAGGGAGCAGGACCGGGCCGGACTGACCCCCTCTCCTGATGTCATCGTCCTCTCTGACAATGAGGCCTCCAGTCCACGGTCCACCTCGCGTCCCGATGACAAAATAAAGATGGCCAACCTGGAGATGTTCAAGGTAGGAAACCCGTTATCAGTTGATTAAAGGGGTCCCCCGATCCTTGTTACCCAATCACACATACAACATGCTGCACTCCCCGGGAGCCCTGTTTCTATATCATGTGACCCCCGGCATGCATACTTCTCTTATATGGTGGACATGGGCAGGGCTGCAATAGGGGGGCACAGGTAGTACTCCCATACCAGGCCTAGGCCCCGTCAAGTCAGCAGAGGGGCCCTTCTATTCGTTGGCTGGCGACTTTCCTTCATGACCGCCCACCACAAGAGCTGTCACCGATGCAGGTTGGCATGAGAGGTGATGGTGCTCAGAGTGGCTTAGGGAAGCTGAGCGGTGCGAGTAGATGATCCCCCCTGGGATGAATGACGAGGAGGGGCAGCAACTCAGCCACAAGTCACATGAGTGGCAGTTGTAGTGGGAGGCAGTGCATGATGGTAGTAGAGATGGCGGTGTGCAGAGTAGCCTGGGTAGGCGTTGTTAGTAGAAGAGTCCTCAGGATGGAGAGTAAGGAGGAGCAGCACATGACCCCCCTGCTGTGTACAGGCTTCTTAGAGGCGGCCACCATCCACACAGTGATTGTTCTGAGTGGTCTTCAACTCTGACATTTCCAAGTAGAGTCAAACCTGTAGGTGCCTCCAGTCCCATACCCCTTTCATTTGGTCCCTTTACCCCCAAGAATTATGGATATCCCTGATTAAAGAGGACCTGTACTATGGATGCTGTACCTGAAAAATGCAAGCAGAGGACAAAGGACTAGTCACCAGTGTTGGCTGTGACCTCCCTGCAGCTGATCTTCTCCTTACTATTACTTGTTCTGCACTACGTCTCTGTGTTGGCAGCCAACTTGGTAGAGCAGCAAGGCTGTGCTTCCTTATGAAACACATTAGTGACATCACCAAACCTTATTCCATATCTCCTGAGACTACCAGGCTTGGAAGTAGGGAGATCCTTGCATTGCAGGTCCTCAGTTACATCTTCCTCTCCACTAAGGAGAACAATGGGCAGCACAATGGTGGCATCACCAAATATCATTCCATATCTCCTGAGACTACCAGGCTTGGAAGTAGGGAGATCCTTGCATTGCAGGTCCTCATGCACATCTTCCTCTCCAGTAAGAAGAACAGTGAGCAACAGTAGTGTCATCATCAAATCTTGCTCCAAATCTCCTAATATTAACAGGCTTGGAAGCAGGGACATCCTTCAACTGCAGGTCCTTAGGTACATCTTCCTCTCCAGTAAGGAGAACAATGAGCAGCACAGTAGTGATATCTCATTGCATATCTCCTGAGACTACCAGTCTTGGAAGTAGGGAGATCCTTGCATTGCAGGTCCTCATGCACATCTTCCTCTCCAGTAAGAAGAACAGTGAGCAACAGTAGTGTCATCATCAAATCTTGCTCCAAATCTCCTAATATTAACAGGCTTGGAAGCAGGGAGATCCTTCAGCTGCAGGTCCTCAGGTACATCTTACTCTCCAGTAAGGAAAACAGTGATCCAGCACAGTAGTGACATCACTAAATCTCATTCCATATCTCCTGAGAATACCAGGCTTGGAAGAAGGGAGATCCTTCAGCTGCAGGTCCTCAGGTACATCTTCCTCTCCAGTGAGGAGAATAGTAGTAGCATCACCAAATCTCACTCCAAATCGGGTGAGACTAACAGTCAGAGGCAGCAGTGCCTTAGATGATATACAGCTATGAGGATACAAACTAGGAAGTGCCCTGAGACTAGGAGTGCCTAGGCACTGCTAAATTTAAGAACCCCTGGCCCAATAGAATTTGGAAAACAGAATATTGAGAAGTATCGGAGCAGAATTTTGGACAGCAATGTACCGGGTATGGAAATCAGGTGTGAGCGTTGGGTATGTGGGACCAGTTATGGGGACTGGGTATGGGGGTTCTTCACAGCCCAGGACACAAAGAGGGGAAATGTCTCTGACCGTGGTAGGAGGGCGGTAGAAAATTGAATCTTTGTCAACTGATTGAGTCATCTGTTCCTCGGCAGGGTAAGAGCATGGAGGAGCGCCAGCAAATGATAAAGCAGTTGAAGGACGAGCTGCGGCTGGAGGAGGCCAGGCTGGTGCTGCTGAAGAAGCTGCGTCAGAGTCAGCTCCAGAAGGAGAATGTTCTGCAGAAGGTGGGTGATCATCCTGCTGCCCCCTGGACCGCACCATCACTTCCTGCATGCTTGAGGGGAAATATCTCTGACCTATACAGTGTTTCTGTTATACCTTTTATTGACCAGGAAACCCGAATAATACGGCACCACTGCAGACGTCGGTGACATCAGCTGCCAACTTGGCTTAAAAGTGGAACTTCATACAAGAAAAATGGCTGGCATTGCACTCGGTCTAGGTCCAGCAGACCTTACACTGGCTTGCAGCTTGATTGATGCAGAACTCCGAATTTAACCTCTTGCCGTCCGCCCGTAGTAAAAAAACGGACGGACGGCACTGCAGCATCTGCGGGTTGCCGTCTCCAGACGGCAATTTTTTTCTGCTTGCGCGCGCCCCCTAGCGGGCACGCACGGACTGTGAGGATAAAAATACAGCAGGTGCCATTGTGGACATGTATTTAAAGGTGCAGGGTATGGAGCGGCCATCTTCTTTATTTCTTCACCACCTGGTGAGTCAGTGACAGGTAACAGGCAAAGAGGATGGGAGTTCACTGGCTCTGTGCTTGTTCCAGGTCAGAATGCGGCCACCATGGTGACAGCCCCACGTCCTGCACCTTTAAAAATGATTATAAGTTATGGCGGCTCTCATTTTCAATTTTCACAATTCCACTTTAAATCAGGGTTGGGCAGATCTCAGGAGCCGGGTCGCCAGGCCTCCTAAATAAACAGCCAGCAGCTGTTGCTCTAGAGCTTTCTATCCTGGTTCCCAGGCTGGACTGACTGCTTCTTGAACTCCATGTTCATTTGAGTATGATTGCAGCCTTCATATGACCCATCTTGGTTGCAGAACGCTTTGCGTTGACCAACCCAACCTTGTCTCTCTTCCAGAATCCCGTAGCGCAGAACGCGGCCACCATCGTACAGCCATCTCCAGCACACGTGGGGCAGCCCAACCTGGCGAAAGTCCCATCGCGGCCGGGAGCACCGGGATTAGAGGTGCAGAATCTGCGCAGCATTCAGGTACGTCTTGTAACCCAGGTGAACTGAGACTTGTCTGTATCACTCTTACCACTCCTAGCACTTGGCATAAAAAGGGGGGGGGGAAATCATGACAGGTCCACTTTTATTCTCTCTGTGTGTTTTGGTGGCTGCTGAGCTAGTCGCCAGCTGCTGGTGACTGTAAGTAAAAATTGAATAGTAACATGTTTGCTACATGCCACTGTAGCAAGCAAAAAAACGAAATACATATTTGAACCCCTTTCTCCTGGCAGGAGCCGGCCCTTTAAGAGAATGGAATGCCGGATCCATTTAATGGGTTTCTTGGTCACCTGATCAGTTTGATTGACAGTAGTCGTGATCGGGAGCCCGTCCTACTTGTCCTGATCCTTGCCACGTGACCTGAAGGTGTCAGTAACAGCTCAGTCACAGTGCTGGGGGGTGCTGAATGAGCCTACGCAGTGACGCCAGGCGGATGCAGATATATGTGGCAGTATGGCATAAGGCCCATTGCTGTACTGCCACATGTATGCATACGCCAAGTTAAGGTCACATGATCTTGTAGGCAACACGTTTAGGAATGTCTTCTTTTTATCTGTAGACTCACAGCGTCATCCGATCGTCATCGAACACCCCCTTGCCCCATATGATGATGTCGCAGAGAGTCATCGCCCCCAATCCCACCCAACTCCAGGGCCAGTGCGGGCCGCCCAAATCCAGCTTGATCCGCAACAGCACGCCAAGCATGACGCAAGCGCTGAACTATCCGCAGGTAGGTACCGCCGCTTGTTTCTTGCAGGTTAACCTCCATGATGGACTAACTAGAACCCTCCAACCGTGGTAAGTGATGAGGGAATAGGCCCACCATATGTGGTCACCTAGTTCCTCTTCCATTACAGCCTTGTTAATTGTACAGAGATGTATGGGCAGATGGTAACGTGTATGATGACTCTTAGAGGGATAGGATTGTATGCTGGGAGTTGTAGTTTCTCAGCCATGGTCAACAATGACAGGTCCCTGTCCCTCTGTTTTTTTCCTCAGCAGTCCACTTCATCCCTCCAGTGCCAGCGCAACAGCTCGTCGGCCATGTACATGAACCTGGGCTCCCACATGCAGGGTGGCTCCGTGAACCGAGTGTCTTCTCCTCTGCCCAGCCCCAGCTCCATGCAGGATCCCGTCAGCTCACAGGCCGCCGCCAAGCTGGCCCTGCGCAAGCAGCTGGAGAAAACGCTCCTGGAGATCCCTCCTCCGAAGCCGCCTGCCCCGCTCCTTCACTTCCTGCCCAGCGCCGCCAACAGCGAATTCATCTACATGGTGGGCCTGGAGGAGGTCGTGCAGAGCGTCATCGACAGTCAGGGTAAGTTCAAATTTAAATTCCTTATCAGAATGCTGCATCTGAGGTTTTAGTCAGACATAGTCACCTTCAAAGCAGGCAGCTACTGTCTCTTCAGCTAACCCATAGTGCTCTGGGAATCCTTTTGCCATTTTTATTTGTAATGCAATTATACAGAAATTAAAATCAGTTTGAAAACTTAATAAATGTATT